TATATATATATATATATGCATTTATATATGCATATATACATGCATTTATAAACTTTTGAACCACATGTATTTTCTGAATCCGCTTGACGAGCTATTAATTTTTCAAGTTCTGTCATGAGGACCAGTGCAATAGTTAGATTTTTGTGAAATCTACCTAGAAGTTCCCGATTTTTCGACAACTATCCATTTTTACGTTGAAGGGTTAGAAACTCTGAAAATCGTTTTTTATAGAGTAGAAAAAGATAAAAATATTCAAGCTAACAAGAAAACCGTTGTAGTCAAAAGTATTTGTTTTAGTGTGGAATTTCCTTTATATTAATTCCATTATATTAATATCGACTCTATAAGAACCAGAAAAATTTTTAGTCGAAAATAAAAAATCAAAATTCAAGCTAAAACTCATCAATTCAATCAGATGATTTGTCGGCAAATGGAGAAATAGTAAGGTATTTTTAACTGAGGTGTTTTCTGTAAGCACAATTATTGTTTTTCAATATCTACAATGTGAGTAGTAACTAACCTGTCCGATCCGTGAATCTTTACTTTTCCTGGCAATAGAGACGAACCCAAACTACGCTGCGCCCGAGCATGAGGCCTGCAGGGTGTAGCCAGTTTCCCGACCGTGGCAAAGTCGTGACACCCATTGACCCTATTCCCATGCCTACATGGTTTGCAGCTATCGTGGGATCGAGAATTTTCACTGTTTCCTTTGTCCCAGTCATATTTGCTGTTGTTGTATTGCTTATTCCGTTTGATCCGTATATCTTTTGCACTAGAACATTGTAAAAGCCATCAGTCTTGTCACAATTCATTAATGTTTTATATGAAGCTGCGTACGCAAGTGATTTCATTGATGACTTTTCTATTTGTACTGATACTTCGAATACCAATAAAATGATCTCGTTAAGTCTACAGAAAAATTATGTTTCTCTTGTTTTAATGAATGTATGTAAAACATTTTTATGAAATAAGCAAAAGTGATATTGTTAGAATTAATATTTAGATTTGTTTCAGAGAAAAGTTGTACAGGACAATGTCACTGTATTTCGTATACCTGAATATGTATACATGTTTGTATAGTAAACAGTTCACTGTAAAGTCCTGTATTCAGTATACCTTGTAATGTTTCTACTACCCCTTGACCCTTAATGAAGTAGTGGGAGTATACTGAGTACTGAGAGAGTACTAGATGTAACTAATAATTTTGCTGTTATAATTAGTCGAGCTGAACTCTTTCACCATCAATTGTCAATTGTCCAGACTTAGAGTCATTTTATTGGAAATAATTTTTTTTTTTTTTTTTTTTTTTATTAAATTTTATTTATGGTCGCTTTTTACATCTAGGTCTTTAGCGACCTCGAGATTTACATTAGGTCATAAAGCGTAATTTACATATAAAAAGGTACATTTCGACAATTACAATTTAGATCAGTTTAAAGAGTGCAACGTTTTTTAGAAAAACTATCACTTTTTTACACAAATTGTAGTCCATAGTCGTCCCTGGGAGAAGGTTACCGAGTCCTGCTCTGGCTCTATCTGGTTGGTAGGAGTTACATTCGTACAAGAGGTGTTTAATTGTCATTGGGCTGACACATCGTTGGCACAGGGTCTGTGGATCCTTGGTAATTAGATAGGAATGACTGAGGTGCGTATGACCGATACGAACTCGCGTGATGGCTTGTTGTTCCCATCTGTTGAAGAGCGACAATGGCACGGCTTCATTTACATTTTTTCTAACGTCGTGTAGCTTGCTGGTAGTTTGAAGCCAAATGGAGTTCCAGTAATTGGTGGTCGCCTTACGGATCATTTTGGCAGCTTCATTGAGCGTTAACTTATTGTCTGGGCAGTATTCAGCGTTAGTTGCCGCCTTGGCCGCCTGGTCAGCTAGTTCGTTTCCCTGAATACCAATATGAGCAGGTATCCAAACGAAAGTGACTGACTTATTAAGAGTCTTAAGCTGGTCTAGAGTTTTGTGAATCGTTTGTATGACGGGATTTGCGGTAGCAAGATTTTCGATGGCCTTTAAGCAGGACATAGAGTCTGAGTAGATGGTGCTGTTTGTGGTATCCTGTCTGTTTATTATTAGTTCTAGTGCATGAAGAATCGCCCTGGCTTCACATGTGAAGACTGAGTTGTGGTCATGGGTCCGTTGGGCCACTAATGTGGTGGAATCAGAGACTATTGCATAGCCAGTTCTGTTGTTGATTGCCGAACCATCGGTATAATATTCAGTGCTTGATGAGTACTTATCTCGTAGTTCGAGGAAGTGTAGTCTAAGAGTTTCTGCAGGCACAGTTCGTCGGTCTAGATCATTGAGTTGCAGGTCGATTGTCAAGGACAGGGGGTGCCCTGGAGGATAATACCCGAGCGTACGTTCATAAACTGTGAAGATAGTGATACCTATTTGCGCCGCATAATTGAGTACCCGTATCCTCAGTGGGTTTGGCGAGTTTGGTTCGCGGAGTTGGTCGAGTGTTGGATTTTTATAGATACAATGGTACGCTGGATTGTGAGGTGTTGACGCAATAGTTACGGCATATTTAAGACAAAGCTCCTTGCGTCGAATAGCCAGAGGTAGCTTCCCAGCTTCAACCAAGAGGCTGTTGACTGGGCTTGTTCTAAAAGCACCAAGGCAGATGCGACAGGCAGAGTTGGCGATCGGCTGGAGGGTGTTTAAAAGCGAATCTTTGGCTGAATCATATATGATAGCACCGTAATCCAGCTTTGATCTGATGAGGCTACGATAAATCCTTAGTAAAGCCGTTGTACTACTACCCCACTGTTTTCCAGCTAGAACCTTCAGAATGTTTAGGCGGTTCCGACAGTCGTTTTTTAGTAACTCTATTTGGGTTTTCCAGGAGAGTTTTCGGTCGATAGTAAGCCCAAGGATTTTGATTTCTTCTCTTTTTTCTAGTAGTTGATCGTTGATGGATAGTAGATTCTGGTTTTTATGGTGATTTTTCCGTGAGATGATCATGAACTGAGACTTGGCTGCTGAGAATTGGAAACCGCAGTTTTCAGCCCAGACTTGGAGATTATTGAGGGCCTCTTGGACGATGTGGAAAGTAAAATCAATATTTTTTCCCCAACAGGTAATCGAATAATCATCGACGAATAGTCGGCTTCGAAGGGGAGATTTTACAATATTTAAAGCATGATTAATTGTTGTAATGAATAAAATTACACTGAGCACCGAACCTTGAGGTAGTCCATTGATAGCGACTGAATCAGACAGGATTCCTTTGACACGAACTTTCATAGTACGCAGCGTTAAGAAGTTGGTCACAAAGGCGATAAGATTTCCCGTAAACTTTAAATTTACCAGTACCTCAATAACTTTCTGGATCCTAGTTTTTTCATAGGCCTTCTCGATATCTAATGAGACCAAAAGAAGGTGGGCATCATCGGCCAGGGCATTACACATGTCATCTTCAAGGCTTACCAGAAGGTCATTGGTAGATCTGAAATTGCGAGATCCAAACTGGTATGGTGAAAGCAAACCATTTTTCTCCAATTGCCATCTAAGACGTCGGCAGATCATTTTTTCCCATAGCTTGCATAAATTGCATGTAAGTGATATGGGCCGGTAGCTGGTGGTTTTTGTGCGATCTTTGCCCGGCTTGTGGATCGGGATAACAATCGCTTCTCTCCATTGGTCCGGGAAGGTGTGAGTATGCCAATAGTGGTTATAGATAGACAGTAAATACTGGAGGTACGTAAGTGGTAGATTTTTAATTAGTGCATTCGAAATGTTGTCAGGTCCAGGGCTGGAGTTACGACAGCTGGAAGCAGCATGAAGTAGCTCATCGAGGGTGAAAGAATTATTTATAGGCTGAGGGTCCATTTGCTCTTGTGTGGGCGTTCGATTGAGAAAAGAGTCACAGTCAGATAGCATGATATTTGGGTCGTTTGAATTGAGGGCGAATGCTTCTGCCAATAGGTTAGCAGTTTTCTGCGGCTCATCTGTAGTTTTTCCAGATATATCGACTAAAGTGGGTGTTGGTAGGGAAGAAGTTTTTCCAGAAATACGTCTAATTTTTCCCCACACCACTGAGGGAGGTGTCTCGTCGTTGATGGTCGATGTGAAAATATTCCAGCTATCAGTTTTACTTTGTTTAATAGTGCGTCGGGTGACAGCTCTGGATTTTTTAAACGCTATCATATTCTCTGGAGTTGGATTTTTTTTATAATGGCGTAGGGCCCTCTTAGAGTCTTTGATCGCCGTTTTGCACTCAGCATTCCACCAAGGTACAGACTTCTTAAGGGGGGAACCAGTTGTTTTAGGTATAGATTCATTGGCTGCTGCGGTTATAACACTGACAAATGACTTGATAATTTCGTTTGCAGTTAAATTTGCGAAGGACGGCGATTGCAGTAAAGATTGCTCTTGCTCTTTTAGGTATTGGTGGTAGTGGTTCCAGTTAGCATTCTTGAGGATCTATTTTTGGGGGTAGTAAGCTGAATCATCGTTTGACCCGTGGAGAGTGATAGAGATTGGATAATGATCACTGCTGCAATTATCCTCATTTACATTCCATTCAGTGTCACAAGCGATGGAAGCAGAGACAAAAGTTAGGTCGATCGCACTTTGTTGGGCTGTTTTAACGTCAAAATGAGTGCTTGCTCCGTTGTTGAGAAGTATGGTTTGGTCAAGGTCATTATAGAGACTTTCTATCACTTTACCTCGAGTGTCAGTGGTGTTGGATCCCCATAGAGTATTGTGCGCGTTAAAATCCCCAAGAATAATATATGGAGTGGGTAGTTGTGCAATGAGATTTATTAATTCATGTTTACATAAAGGGTGACTGTTGGGTAAATAAATATTGCATATTGTGATGGGTCGTATGGTTATAATTCTTACGGCGACAGCCTCGAGTGGAGTATTTAAATGGAGCTTTTCAGTAATCAGGTTGTCCTTAACATAGATGGCAACCCCTCCACTTGCCCTGAGGGCAATGTTCCGGTTTTTATTTGAAGCTTGATATCCGCGTATTTTGGCGCAAAATTTTTTCTTGAAATTAGTTTCTTGTAAACAGATACAATCGTAGCCCGGGTTCTTCAAAAGCAGCTCGAGAAATTCTTTCTTAGGGAAAAAACCATTTATATTCCACTGTAATGTACGCATCACTCCGTGGTTAGTTAATAAAGCTCCAAAGAGTCCATGGACTCAGGAACCAAGTCCGAAATAGCTCCTTCGGCTTCCATCGGGCTGATGATGGAGTTGGAGTTCGTTGAACTTTGCGATGATGAATCTTCGAGAACACCCCCCTCGATACGTGTCGTGATTCGAGTAAAACGGTACTTTTGTCGTCGATTTTCGAGGTGGTCATATAGTTTCTGCAGCATTACCACTATGTCTGCAGCGTTCAGGCAATGTTTTTGTAGTGCCTCCTCGATACTGTGGATTTTAGGTGCATCGTTCACAAAGTGAACTAGCTGAGTGAAGGAGCACGGGAAATCAGAGGGACAGCTTGTCATTACCTGTTCAATTGCTGCTGGTAGAGCTATGAAGTGCGGCTTAGATTTAGCCTTCTTAGCTCGTTTTTTGAGGTTCACATTGGATGGTTTCGTAAACAATTCTTGCTGAGTGGGTAACGATGTTTGTGATGATCCTTCAGATCTCGGTCGCTTGTTATTATGGGCTTGGGCATTTATTTCTGAAGTGTTTATTGAAGAATTCATCATTACATTATTTTCAGGTAATTTTCGTGGAAGCAATGGAAATTCGGGTTTTTTGGAAATGACAGATTCCTCGGAGAGTGAAGTAGCTGGTAGGTTCTCTTGTGAAGAGGAGTCAGGAGCACCCTGATGATTCGGATTATTCGGGCATACTCTTGCCAAATGCCCTTGTTCTTTGCAATTGAAGCAAATCATAGCGTCTAGAGAAGGATAGATAAAGTACGTTGTGTCGTCATAGTCAATTTTCCATAGTGGGGGAATGTTGTTTACATCCTCAGGTTTTATGTAGACTTGGCGTCTGAAACTGAGTATGTGTTGGTAGCCGGGAATATTTAATCCGGCTCGGAGCGTAGTAATACTCGATGCCGGCTCAATTTTGGATTCCCTAAATTTTTCTAGAATGATGTCATTCGGTATTATCGGTGGAACGTTCGACAAAATTAATCTTTTGTTACGGGTGATTAGTGGACGTATAGTTATAATGGAATCTCTCACCTTAACTGTTTTGTGGGTGTCAATAAGGGTATCCGCGATGTCTTTCGTTGCAACATAAATGCAGACACGGTTGTTTGAGATTCTGGATAAATGTCTCAGATTCTCGGGTCCAATTTTGGTTCCAATTGCGACGGCGTATTCGTGTATTTGTACTCCATCGATAGCGTCTAGGATAATTGCTTGGTCTTTTTCGGGAACGATTTCGGTAAACAAGGCATTAGAGTAATTTTTCGTTGCGGCCATTGCTACAGTAATTGAATCTCTTGGAACAGAGATTCACTGCAGATAAAAGACATTTATGTGGAAAAGGTTAGCAAGCTCACGGAAACTATCACTAGTCAACCAATAGAAGAAAACTGTATACACACTTTGCACTCTATACTCTTTGAAAAGAAAACTCGTAGAACGGAGCGTTCAAAAACACGTCTGCTCGGTACGCACGTTGGCGAGCGACTCGGGAAATAATTTAACATTATATTTCTGTCAATTTAACCTCGTTTAATATTGTTTGTTTAGTTAAATTCAGTGTGTAGCTAATTTAATATTAATTAATATGCTTATGTTTCTTTTGTATCAATAAACGATAATTAAACAATACCTGAGTAGTTATTTCTAACAGATATTTTTTTTTTGATTTTTTTTCTTCAATAGTAGTTTTTCTATTATTTTATGAAATTGGATTCCTTATTAAAATAGTCTCTTAAACTTTTCGTCAGAGTCAAAAACAACAAAGTATTTAGGATATTAACTATAGGAAATTAACTTAATTCTGAATTGAGAAAAATAAACTTATATTTTATTATATTTATTTTTATAAGAAAAAATCTTTTTTTCTGCTTTGGTTGCATTTCTGAAGTACAAAGATTGTTCTTCAAATTTGAGAGACGAAACAAGACGATTTTACGAACGATGCAGTTGTCTGCTTGAAAAAAACGATTTTTTCGATTTTTTTCGTTAACGATAACTCATGACCGAATCAACCGATTTTGACCGGGCTGATGGCAATCGACGTGGGTTTTCAAGGTTAAGAGCTGATTAGTTTTTGAAATCGATCGGTCAAGCCATTTGAAAGTTATTCTAAAAAAACCGCATTTGAAAAAATTTTTTTTTGTAGTTTGTTCAAGATTTGTTAAAATCTACTGATTCGAATCGGTCCAAATCGAGGTCAAAATTTAAGTTTAGTCAAGCCCTTTCGAATGGCGCCAACCGCGATAAAATCGGTCACGCCGTTCAAAAGTGATGAGAGGTTTACATACGGCCGTACACACACACCACACACACACACACACACACACACACACACACACACACACACACACACACACGGGATTCAAAATCTAAGTTCAGTCGAGCCCTTTCGAATGGCGCCAACCGCGATAAAATCGGTCAAGCCGTTCAAAAGTTATGAGAGGTTTACATACGGCCGTACACACACACACACACACACACACACACACACACACACACACACACACACACACACACACCTGCGGCAGAGGAGAAACTGCTACCAGGCGCGTCTCCCCGTATCGGATGGGTTGACACTCGCTGTCCTTGGATGACACTAGGTCTCTCAGTTGATGAGGTACAGAGGGTAGGAGTTTAATAAAATACGCACCCGTGGACAAAACTCCCTTTTAATGGGTTCGTCACACTAACTGACCTAGCAAGACGATCGTTCTCTGCTGTGACCCACTGGGAGTGACCGGAACCTGTATCGTAGTCAGTGGACTGCAGGACTTTCTCCAAACCAAGCAAAATGTCCAC